GGGTTTAGGGTTTAGGGCACTGTGTGAGGTGTTCGGGCCGTGGGCGACCCATCTCGCATACGCCTTCGAACTAGAGAGAATCAGCGACGCCGACTTACTGCTTTTTGCAAGGGCCCGTGCATGTGGGGACCCACTGCTCAGAATTGAGAGTTTGGGGACAAGTGTTCTGCAGACGCTCAGCATCCCTTCAACCAACAGTGTTGCCTGGTGTACTTTGCTCAGGCGACCAAACTACAGCCGTGAACGGGTGGGGGGCCAACACCTTCCAGGCGAGCAAAGAGCTGCATCGTCACTCCTCCCTTTGACATGACAGATGGTTTCAAGATGCCTGTCATCCTATGAAGAAGCCCTGATTCTCATGCGTCAGAACGAGAGAGAATGGTAGCTGCCTGGCCACTGAAAACCCGAAAATCATTTTTTGGGCACTGTGGGCCGTGCGCATGTGCCGTCGCTTCCCGAGTCCCTCTCAGCCCTGCACCAGCTTCCGGAACCCTTTGCGCCTCCAGATTGAGCTGTGGACTGCTGTAGTCGGCAAGGACCCAGGGGAAGACTGGATACTGGGAGAAGTCGTTCCTGGCCCGACCGAACCCCATTAAAGCGGGCACGGGCGACACTCGCATGACCTGCATGCTTCAACGGATCGGTACCCTCTTCCTCCATTCATGTCCGGCGGATTTTCACAAAACCTCCAAGTAGGCTGACTCCGCGGTCCTTTTCATATCGCACCGCTGCTAGGAGTTTCGGGGTGGAGCCTGGACCCAAACCCAAGACTCCGACCTGGACCGCCCCGCCGCGCAGTTCAGGAAGTCTAGGTAGTGGAAGTTCGAGAGCAATCCACTCTGCCACAGGGCGGTCCTGGGGAACAGGCAGAATTGCGGGCTGCATGTTGTCGGGAACCGGTCTCGGGCATCTGTAGGGATGCAGGCTGTGACTAGTAGCATCAAGTAGCTGCAACTACTTGCCGTCAAGGAACATCTTGCGGACGTTCTGCAAGATGTTCTCTGCATCGGTCAGCGTAGACCTGCTGCACACGCACAGGCATATGCGACATCCTTCAGAGTTCCAATGCACGCTTCGTGTGTCGCTTAAGAACCTAGCTGAAAAATCACTACAACGACTTTCGTCGATGCAGACACATATACAGCAGCGAGTTTTGAGACTTTGTCCGAGACCATGGCAAACATTGGCAAACATAACAATGGGGATGTCGGTACAATACAGGTGTTCATCCAATTTTGATGCCCTTACAGACGAAATCACGCAGCGACCGCTGCTTGGAGGCCTCAGCAGCTGTGCAGAGGGGCTTGTGCCTTGGGAAGCAAGCACACGCCGCTGCTCCTGGAAAAACATCGTCGCGTTCAGGGAGACCGCGATTCGAGCACTATGAATACGATGTCTTCTCAGAACGCTGCTCCTCAGAATTCCCAGCTAGCAACCATTGCACAAGTCCCCAAGACCAACCGCTCCTCCAGCAGCGAGGACACCTGCTCACACTGACCTCGAGCCTGCAACAACGCACTCACAAGGGCTGAAGCTTCATGTTTTCGTCTGCAGGGTGCCGCGTGTTGCGCTTTGGGCTTTGGGTGCCAGGTTGAAGGAAGCTGCTGTGCAGTCTGCGAACCTCGAAGCACAAGTACAGGCAGCCACCATGGACGGTGATGATCTCGAGGGCATTTGCCTCCGATCACAAAGTCCGATCTAAGATGATATAGGAAAACACGAAATCAGGCTCCTTGAAAATTAACTCGTAACTGCAAGCATGCATTAGGGGGAGTCGTCGTAGCCCGCACCTGCACACCATACACGCGGCGAAACACGTGGAGCACGTCGCTCAGCAGCACCTGATTGTGGGCTCGATTTAAGGCTCAAGGGTGAAGGCTTACGGAGTAAAGTTTCCCAGAACGAACTCCTCTTACAGCGTGTGCCGCGTATAGATACGTGTCGATACTTATACCAGCAGGAGCAGAAGGGTTTACTATGCTTGTGCCTTGTACGACTGACAGTAGCCCTCAGATTGTTGTCATTGCGAACATCCGTTGCACCATCATACCTGCTGACTACAATCCGAGGTTCCAGCTGGACCCGCATCTCCCGATAGTTTTGCAGATACTGTGGGTCGTAGGCAGCGGGCATCTCATCTGTGGAGGTGCAAGTGACAGAAGGTGCGTCTGCTCAGTCTGTACAGCGGCCGTGTAATTGTAGTAGTAGTGGGAGTAGTGGTAGT